GTTGGGTCCAAGCGGGGGTGGTATCGCACAAATACGTATAAAAGAAATAAAATGATAACTCAAAAGTTCAAGGTATCAAAAAAAAAAGGATAACTAAACTTTATGTCTAGTTGCTGGATACATAGGACTGCGTCTATCTCCCGACTCGTTCTATGGATTGTGACACGTTGTTTTCCGTTAGGCGAGTTTTAACACTTCAAGTTGTTTGCTCTTTAAGAAATTGGTTCTTGGTGTGTCTTCAGGCGAAAGTCGAAAAACTTATTTTGGTGGTATGGATCTAAGTCGCTCTTCAAAACAAGTTGTTCTTGGATTGAAGATGAGTCCGGAAATTGCGCGAATCTTAGTCAGCCGATGCGAGGCCTGCTTCAACTGAGCACTGGAGACTGACTCTGGGAAACCGGAGTCCGAACTTAACTCTGGAACTGATTTCTGCTCGCTGCGACTTTGCTTATATGGACGCCGACCAAAACCGGGGTGGGTTTGTCGGCGTCGGAGGCTCCTCGATAATTCTAAATACCTATCCACTTCTTTTATTTTTGGTTAGGAATTTTCCACTTCTTCCATTTTTGGGAGTCTTCTCTTACTCCCACCTTCTCACCATACTTCAGAAGGGCGTGAACTGTCCTCCCCACTTCCTCGTAGCAACCTCTCATACCCATCCTCTAAGTGGGCGGTGGCAGCTTCCTCCTTGCGTCACGTGATCACCACTCGGCCATTGATGTCCAGCCGGGCGCGTGCGATCCCGCGGGCTTTGTTTCAGGGAAAAAATATATCTTGCCCCCCACCCTATCTTTTTCTTTTCGTTTTCTTCCTTTTAATCGCAGTTCTCATTTTCTCTGGTCGCCAATAGAACAATGCGACCGGTGGTGATCATAACCCTTGTTCTCATCTGGACTTCGTCAGTCAGATTATCGCTAATTATCAGAATGGGTGGTCTACTCAACACAATACCGTCGTCCGTACCCTAAAAAAAAACAGTTCCATGGTTCTAGTCATTCTTTGGTGCACCTTTCTGATAACATAGTTTTGTTATCACAGCCAAAGATGTCTTTATCAAAAAAAAAAACAAAAAAAAAACGGTCAGCCGTTACTTCGTGTGCGGCTCAGCAGACGACACAGTTAATTTTTCATATCTATCCAAAGCCCTGTATTTCACCTGTTCTTTGTCAATTATCAAAATAACATTTTCAATTGGAGTTTTCTTGGCTAGTCGGTCTGTGGTTTGCTAATTAGATGTTTTCTGCATTGAGATGCTCTTATCTATCCCCCGATAACACATGTTCGTCGACAGAACACAGTCGATTACCCCATCCACCTAGAATCTTTCTGCCATTGTAATGACACCTTTTTCGCCATTTGCTATTTATCAAAATAACATTATCAATTGTCTCTGGTCGTGGGTGTTTTTTCTATCATCCACGATTGGGTCTCGCCTCTCTTTTCCTTTCTTTCCTTTCTCTTTTTCCTTTCTTTTCTTTTTGCCCTGGTAAATGGTGCCACATAAGTATACTTTTCTCTTTTGTTTCCATTTACTCCAAAACCTCATCTTTGCTCAAATATTCCGTCCATGGTATCCTCAGCATCCTTCTGTATAAATTTCAACCGCTTCTTCCTGGTGTTAATTATAAGTTTCTTTTTTGTATCCATTCTATCCAAAACCTCGTAGTTGCTCACATATTTGCCACATGGTCTCCTCAGTATCACATTTCTATCTATTGCTTGAAGTCTCTTCATCTTTGTCATACAGGACGACAGATATCACGTAACAGTTCAGTACACTTTTCTTTCATTTTAGAGACATTTTTCTGTCTCTTAATATTCTGCTTAGGAGGCGTGGTGGATTATAGGATAGCGGCTTGGATTGAGGAATCGGAGAGCTAAGTTCGAATTCCAGTCGAATACACTTGGGAAAGGTATGAATCCTCTTCTTCTCCCCACATCCGGCTATGGGTAAATAGCCGGGCCAGACCCGGTTCTATATCCTTGTATATTGCAACTCGTCTAGCGCAGAAAGAAATAGCAAGCTACTGCCGGAAAAAAATTCTGACTCGTCAGTCATGTATCGAAAGATACATGACTGACGAGTCAGAATTTTTTCCTAAGCGGGTATCACGCATGACACATAACTGACTACTCTGCTTAACTTTTATAATGCATTTTTGGTCCTCCCAATACGTCTTCAGGTCTCAGTGTCGCACTTTCCGTCCTCTGTTAGAACACTTAGTTGATATCTACATTTCTGTACTTGCTTGATGTCTTGTATTCCCAACCTGTAATTTGCTTTTTTGTAATAACCATGCATTTTGCCTTTTTGTAATTTATGCTTAGTCCTTTCTTCTCGCCTTCCTTCACTATCTTCTGTAGGATATTTTGTAGTTCCCTTTCAGTCTCTGCTATCAGCAATGTCATCTGCATATCTTATAGTGTTAAGACTGTGGCCGCTAACTTCTAATTCTCTCAGAATTACCTCGCTGTATAGCTTAATTAATCTCAGTGATAAGCCTTTTGACTAAACCAACGCACGCTGCAAAAGATATTAAAATCGGAATTTTCGGACACACCTGTGTCCTTTATCACCGAGACGAGAAATAAATAATGAAGTGGAACTCACTTTCACCATCTAAGTATCTAAGTACTTATGATTCTATCTACGGCTTATGTTAAATTGTATGCAATTATATATATATATATATATATATATATATATATATATATATATATATATATATATATATATGTGTGTGTGGAGTTAGCCTTCAAGATAGGACATATAACGTAGACCTGTTTAACAGGTGTAATATTGGAGGAATCAAGACTTTTATCATACGGTCTCAGTTACGGTGGACTGGTCCTCTCTTGAGAATGTCTGATGACAGGATACCCAAGATCCTAATGTACAACCAGTTAGATCAGGGCTACAGGAATGTAGGACGCCCATGGCTAAGATACAAAGACAAGCTGAAAGACAACTTGTCAGCAGTCAACATACCACACAACACCCTTGAGCGCTTAGCCTTGGAGCGGGTAGAATAGAGATCAACGTGTTTTAATGGACTCAGCAATTTTCAATCTGCTTGTCTGAATCATCTTCAAGAAGAGAGAGCAAGATCTAAAAGGTCAGCCAATCTAACAGTGATCTCATCTCACAATCCTCACAGTTGTTCCATATGTGGCCTCCTTTGTAAATCACTAGCGTGTCTTAAATGCCACTTAAGATTATCGCACAAAATTTCATAACTGAATCAAGTAAGCTGTCAGATCTGCATACGTCGAAACCGACGAGAGAGTCCATTATATATATATATATATATATATATATATATATATATATATATATATGAAAATTTCTCCGATTTAACCAGTAGAGAAGACAATATTTATGAATAAAAATGACAATAAGAAAACAAACAAATGTACACAACAGATTCATAAAATCAAAAGAAAATGGTTGAATACATCAACACAGATATAATGACAATATTCTCCACACGTGACAAATACTGAAGTTATTTTCAGTTAACAATATGAAAATAACGTTTCTCTACATTCCAGTTTCTAGGAACATTCTGTTTTTGGTTTTTATTAGTTACCTTGTTCAATTAAATTCATTTCGTATTTTGCTTTGATAAAGTCCACATTTGACGAAACGTGTCAGCAATTACTAGCTTTCCTATTGCCATTTTTATTCATATATATATATATATAAATATATATATATATATATATATATATATATATATATATATATATAATTTAGAATTATTTAGGAATTATATATATATATATATATATATATATATATATAATTTAGAATTACTATATATATATATATATATATATATATATATATATATATATATATATATATATTTAGGAATTACCTATTTTATATATATATATATAATTTAGGAATTACCTATTTTTTTTACACTTTTATTAAATTAGTTACCTTTCTTTTGCGTTTAGCAAGGTCCGTATATATTTATTTATCTATTCAAAAGTAAAGCTGGATCATAACACTGAGAGAGTCATTTGTTAAAATAAGGGAAGAAAAAATATCATAATTGTGTGTACGCAAGAAGCAGGCTGCTTACGTGAGCGTGCCAGAGCAGAGTCTTCTTTCTTGCCACTGAGACCGAAAACTAAATCATTGCAATACCCCGTAGTATATATATTTTTGTTCTTTTCTTTCTTTCATCTTAGCGTTAACTATAGCTGCTGCTACTACATTGGATGCGTTTCTACTGACACGACTGCCGATAAATTTCTCTCACTGGCACTATTAGTACATTTTCTATTACTACCCTGACTACTACAACTCCGGCAACATCGGTGATGACATGCGGGAGCAGCTGGGCGGTAGAACACGGGCCTACAGCATTGGAGTAATTGTCCCGTAACTGGAGTCGGATAGCTGAATTTACTTATCGCGTAACTAGCAAGAAAAGATTAAATATTCTATAAATAATTTAAAAAAACAAAACAAAAAAGAACAAAAACCGTTTCGTCTGTATAAAATCAAATCTAGTAAATCTGATATGAATATAAGTTAATATTTACGCTCACTTTATTTGACAGTAAACAAGAATTTCGTATCTGCAGGGAACATTAAATAAAACAAAATTGTTAAATGGCACACTGAATATTACGGCGGGAAAATCACCATGTTCCATATTTGGTAGATTCTATAAGCCTCCTGTTTTATAGGATTGGCGACTAATTTATGAAATTCTGATATTTGAGAGAAATATATTGACTTATTTATCATTTAGATCTATCAATATATAAATCTCTCTCTCTCTCTCTCTCTCTCTCTCTAGATATATATATATATATATATATATATATATATATATGGTCCAACGTAGCGGAGTGGTCTAAGGCACTTCATACACACACACACACACACACACACACACACATATATATATATATATATATATATATATATATATATATATATAACAGTCGATTAATGTCTCTCTGTTTTAATATATCAGTTCGCTTTCATGTCTGTCCCAGTCTACTTTCACTATCTATCAATCTATCTATCTAGCTAGCACTGTTCATATCTATTTGTCCATCTACCTATCTATCTCAGATTGTTTATATCTATCTATCTTTCTTTATCGTACTATTTCTTTCTTTTTTTCTTTCTATCTATCTATCTATCTATCTATCTATCTATCTATCTATTTCATTATTTCCGTTTAACTTTATCCATAATTATCTGGTTGTCACTCGAGTTTATTCATACACCTATCAAGCAAGTCATATTCACCTACACCCGCACATACGCGAGCACACTCTCTCTTACACGCACATACACTCACATATCTATCTATCTATCTATCTATCTATCTATCTATTACTGTTTTTTTCTTCACATCTATTTATCTATCGTACGCTCTTAAAAAGTATTTGTGTCTACGAATGCAAACAAATCTATGAGGACCTACCGATAATGCACAAACAGTAAATTCATGTACTTCTAAAATTCGCAATAACTTGTCACATATGAAATACGGTAAGTGTTTTGTTGAATAATAATTACAAAGATCGGAATCACAACAATGGTGAATATTCTGTAAGAGTCGCAGCGTTAAACCTTATATTTCAACAGGCGCACAGAATTGCTGCTTAGTCCGTCCAACCACTTCTGGAATAGGATCAAACTCTTGCGTGCATCAGTTTTGAATAGAACCTACTGCACAAGCAATACTCTTTTAAACACTTATTATACACCTATATACACTAATACATTTATTACACATTTGCGAGTTAGTACTATATTATTACTACTTATCTAACAAGCTTACATATATTAACCTTTTTGTGAAACGGCTTGTTCATCCATTAAATTTAAATGAAGTTAGTAACGTCATTTTTGATCTAGGGCTTAACAACGAATGATAGTTCTATGAAAATTGTATGGCTTAAAAGACAGGTATATAGCTTAAAACGAATGGCAGTTCTATGACAAGTCTATATTTTAAATGACAGTTCTGTGACCTATAAACTAATGAACGTCCTATGAAAATTCAATGTCTTAAATGGCAGTTCTATAACAAGTCTATATTTTAAATGACAGTTCTGTGACCTATAAACTAATGAACGTCCTATGAAAATTCAATGTCTTAAATGGCAGTTCTATGACAAGTCTATATTTTAAATGACAGTTCTGTGACCTATAAACTAATGAACGTCCTATGAAAATTCAATGTCTTAAATGGCAGTTCTATGGCTTAACGAATAACAGTTCTATGACAAATCTATAGTTTAAATTACAGTTATATGGTTTAAAAAAGGATGATTATTCTACAGCAATTCTACGGGTTAATAGACTTTTCTATGCTTTATGTATGAATGATTGTTCTATGACAGTTTTTTGACTTAAATACGAATACCATGGATTATCAACGAATGGCGGTTCCATGAGAATTCTATGCACTTGCTACAAGATTCGTGGCAGTATTTCCCATTGTACTTCGTAAGATTTTCTGTAAATATTTTCTAAACTTATCAAAGTCCATTATCCGTTGTCTACTGTAGGTTACACAGTAAGAATTAAACTCACTACACATGGGAAAATCTTTCGAGTTTAGCCTGGTAACCATCGCTTTGTGGCACGCTTCAGTTATTATGGGGTGTACGGAGATATATATATATATATATATATATATATATATATATATATATATTCTCCGCACACCCCATAAGAACGGAGTCGGGTTTATCTAGCCAGACAAGCATCTGCCCTTCTGCAGAGTCTTGTCTGGGTTCCTCTCTGCCTGAAGACAGAGAGTTCAACAAGATCTAAGAGTTCCGCAAGCGGTTAGCTCGGTATTTACCAAACCTCCCCTCAAGGCAGGATACGGCACAAGGCCGATTTTTATGTGGGGGAAAATCAGAATCCGTAAGCTTTGCAAAAATTTCGTGAATACCCCGCATACATGGTGTCGCGTTTGTCTACCTCCCCAACTGCTGCTAAGTTGCAAGAGGTAGTGAAAGAGAATGAGAAGACTTTTGAAGACCGGAATCTCAATCCTGAACAAAAAAGAAGGGAAAAACATCCACACCTGTTCAAAAGGCCGGGGGGAGGATTGTGAAACAGGTGATATGCAAACCAATGCATTCCTATTGAGAGGTGTGAGAAATTGAAGTAAAATGAACCGGGAACATAATCCTAGCAGGAAACAAGAGATGAACTTGTAGTCATGTTCAAAAGAGGGTGGAGAAGTCTGAACCTAGTTATAAGCGAATCTATCTGCTCCAATTGAGAGGTAGAGACGTCAGAAGAATTGAATTAGATTTCAGAAGGAACCAGAAGACCAATTCCGAACAGGAAGCAAGGGATAAACCTCTACTCCTGTTCAAAGACCGGGAAGACTATGAAGCAAGACAATAGGTGAACATATCTCTCCTACATGTATGTCTATGTATGTGCGTTTGTATGTGTGCGTATGTGTGTAATTTCTAAGAAATTTTTGGATTTTAATT